CTGGAGACAAGACGGCCCAGAGACGACATACTTTACACATGAGATAACACACACAGAGGAGTCACACATGGAGGAGGGCTTAACAAAGCCTTTCTCTTTCTCATTACTGGTAAAGAACTTTCACGAAATGATGGTTGAAAATAGTTTCTGAGGGCGAGGAAAGGAAGACTCCTTGAAGTTGGGAACTAAACTTACATTTAAGTTGACACAACAGAACAAAATGTTCCCATTCAACCGATTCATATTCCTCCATTTTCACAGGCACCTGCGTCCAGGAAGTGGACGCAGACCGTGGCACAGTGCGCTTACGTCCCGGCGGTGAAGCCGCGGTCATTCCTTCACCACATGCAGCTTTCATTGGACGCATCGGATGGAACCGCCGCGCCTCACCGAGAAACCTCACAAAGACCTCACAAAGATGGGATTTAATGGTCCTTCGATTGAGCGGGTTTGAAAAGCCCACCTCTGACCCCTGACCCTCCCGCCTTCCAGGGTCCAGCGCCTGCCATTGGTCATTTGTCAAACCCCCGCGCCCTGATCTGATTACCGGCCAGTTTGAGATCTGCCGACTACGCACTTCTAGGATCGAGAGAAGCTGCTTTCAGCAACTTTAAATGACAACAAATAGCCGGATTGTTGCAGGAAGGGATCAGTCTTTTCAGGCGATAGAGGTGGAAAACCCTTCAGATTTGGGCGCCAAGCTTGGTGTCTTCTAATGTCTACGAGGGGAAGTAAGGAAGATAGTAAGGGGAACCATCTGCACCCACATTGATCCAATACTGATCTAATGACCGACAGCATCCAGACACAGATCTTCTTCTGTGTTGATCATTCAAGTTTCTATCCCAGTTCAAAACATCACGACTGCTACAGCTGTGTACAAAAAACAATATTACTCCCTAATCGCAGAGTAACCGTAAGTAAGTACGTGAGAACTCCTCATGTGTATTAATACGTATAAATAAACAGCTTTTCTCCACATATAAGCAATACGTAGGTTTGTGTGTGTGTGTGTGTGTGTGTGTGCGCGCCACCATTCATGACTCTGACTGCTCTGACAATCGTCTGCACAGGCCTGTCAATCAAATACAACTCCCATTTTCCTGATCCGCCCTGAAGGAATGTGCACAATCACAGACCCGAGCTCCACCCCGAAAACCAACCTCTGTCTGGCCAACACACACACACACACACACACACACACACACACATCGCTCATTATGTCTGCTTAGCTCTTTTGAATTGTGTTGGGGGGTTGGGGCAGGCTGGGGGTGGGTGACCCCAGAGAGCATGACCTAAGGGGACATTTGAGGAGTTAGTGGGGGAGTGGCAGTGAGGACCGGGGGATGGGACATGCAAATACAGGGAGGGAAAGTAAGTTACTTCTCGGTGCCCCCCTTGAGAAGATCCCCGTGGAATAGTTTGAGTGAAGAGTACACAAATTGTCGATGCATGAGCTTCAGCAGAACACTCGATGTTGTATTGATAATGTGATGAGATGCAACTGAAGGAAATGTAAAAGAACTCAATCTTATCTTGAGCACCAATAATAATCATTCAATGAATGCTTCACTTGAGATGCAGCGGTGGAGCAGGGCAGGATGGACCCCCCCCCCCACATGGAGGAGGGCAGGATGGATTTCCCTCCCCATGCTTAAATTACTGAGGCTCAAGAGTTTGGATTTCCCTCCAAAAACTCTTTTGTAAAGGTTCTCCACCCCCAGCCGTCACACATCAATCCCTGGTGTTTGTGTGTGTTTTGGGAAGTGGGAGCGTCTCCGCCAGTGTGCTGTTTACCCCCCAGGGTGTAAAAGATTTTAGGACTAACAGATCAAGTTTAAAAAACAAACTGTTTAATTTCAGTTTACTGACGCTTTTTTTAGGTCCGAAACCAAAATACACAGAAGTTTAGTTTCCTGTCAAACGCATTTGCTACATTTTAGTTGTTGATGAAACCAAAATCGATTTACCCTTTGCACAAGATTTTGTTTACTCGCATTTTTGTATTCAACTTTTTAAAGTTTATTATATTATAAGTAGATTATTCTCCTTAACAAACCAAATGTTGTTGTTTCCCTGTTCGTGTCTGTGTGTAAGTTATTTTAACTCCTCTTTGCCGGGAAGCGTAATCACAGTTGCGGAGCTGCTGACCTTTGGTCCACGGTATCTGTGACCTTTCTCTTACTTGCCTTTGGTTTGGCTTCAGGATGTTCCTCCTTTAACTCTTAACACAAGGAGTCCGCTCCAGCACCCGGAGACTCAGTGTTAAAGCATGTGTGGAAATGCACATTTACACAGTCATTATAAATGATTATGAAACACTTCTAACATCTGACGCGCTGCAAGTGATCAGAACTGAACATTTCTGTGGTTTAATACAGACTCAGTCATTTTATTTGAAAAAAAAAAAAGATAACACAAAAAACATTCATGAAGAATATCCCTCAAGTGCAGTTGAGATAACATTTTCACTAGCAGGTAAACTCTGTTTTTTAAGCATAAGCATTGCAAAAATCAGAAAAGAAGAAAGTCCTTGATTTCTCGCACAGTATTTTCTCATTTAATTTTTCCACTTTCTTTTCGCGGCCATTATGAGGACATCCGATAATGTTCCTATCCTAAAAGCTCACTCAGTAATTGTAAGCAGACATCACATCAACTACTTTTTCATTGAAAAACTGCGTGCATGCGGGTTTGCAGATCAGCTTTAGTTATTTGATGTGCATTAAAGTTTTAGTTTGTTTCTGTGTTCTGGCACAAGAGCAGATTATAGAGAAGATGAAGAAGCTTGTTGTGATTGACAGCTGACCGTGTGCATTTGAGTGTCTGAGTGAGATGTTTTTTTTTTTTAGATTAATTACAGAGTGTGAAGACCGGCATTATTTAAAAAGTGTGAAATAGGTTTAGAAGAGCTTGTAAAAGGAAGACAATTGCAGACGTCTTTTTTACCGATTTACACTGACAGAGACAGACAGACATTATTTTGCACACGTCTCAAATAATCAAAATACACCTGCAACATTTCATTAGGAAGCTTAATCAAACCATTTTCTTTCGGCTAAGAGTGCGTACGTGCTGCAGTCAGACCCTGTAGAACAAACTGCACACAGTCCATGAGCCTCTCCCCTCACCAAAACGAGCAAACCCACCAAACAAAGGGCCGCCATTGTGGATAAATAACGCTTTTGTTTCACCCATTTGAACCCGAGGTTTCCCTCCACGCCGAGGAGAGTGTGTTCTGCCTCTTTTCTCTTTTCAGATGCTCTGGCGCTGAATAGCAGAGACTGCTGCCAAATGGGAAAACGTCTACACGGCCAGGAAGAAAGACCAAAATCAATTGGTAGGAAGTGGCTGCTTTTCAGATGTGCCAGAGGAGCCGGGCAACTTCCTGGTCCCATTGCCAAGGTGACTGGAGGCTGAGCCAGCTGGTGCAGCGGGCAGCAGTTGGGTTTGATGTGGGGGGGTAGAGGACGGCGGTTGGGATGTTGGGCGATGCAGTTTGAATGTGAGACTGGATTCACATGAACTATCACAACGTGGGGTTTCTCTCCTGTTCACTCCTCCGCTTTTCTCCTACACTGAAGCACGGCCAATCCAAGACAATTCTGGCACACCGAGCCAGATCTAACGCGTCCCTGTTCGACAAAGGGGTTTTTCCTGGTAAAATGAAACTGTATGGAATTATGCTTGTGTATAAATGATGGGAAATCCTGAGCAAAATGATCCAATGATGATTCTCTGCCACTATGTATTGCTTAAAGAGGAGCACATGGGGCTTGCAGAATGCACAGCGGGAATTTGAGTAGAACTAAGTGACTCCTGTTGTATACTAATAGAAAATAGCAAACATGCATGTATGTGTATCTCTCAAATCAGACGCTGCATGATACTATATCTATTAACTTCTATCTCTATTAAATATCATTTCATTAAATTGATAAATTCCTCCCTCACTGAGAGCAAAACTCAGCAGGATCACGACTCTTCGCTGACCTTGCTCCTAAATGGTTGAATGAGCTCTCTGATGACATCAGGACGGCTGATAAATGACATCCAATGTAATGTGTAGTAGATTCAGCTTCAAATATCCCATCAAAAAATGCACATGCCATTTATTAAATGCTCGGTGTAATTGATTCCCTAAAGCTAAACTTAGTAACATTACTGTGTCTATCCTCATTAGTCTCTGTGACCAGTACTAAACCACACTTGGGACTGGGGGGGCCGGTGGCGTTGGCGGGAGTTCTGGGGGTTCAGATTGGCGGTGATAGGTAAACACAGCTGGGGACACACAGTGCTGGCGGGCGGCGAGTTTCAACGCCCCCCCTCACAAATGTATCAGCGTGTTTGCTCAGGGGATGTGCTCTAATCTTCACACCCCGACCGCTGCGCGGCGCAAACTCAAAGGCACAACAGGCCGGGGTGAAAGGGACCCGATGCACAATCACAGCAACAATGTTCGTTTCTTCATAAAGGGCTGAAAAGGTCATCTAAGGATCTGTGTGGGGTTGAATCCCTCTGTGGGTGGGATGAACCCCATGATATGTGATGAATTCTTGATAACAATCTTACCATTTTCTTTCTGAACGTGCCTCCGACAAATGACCAGGGGCCATATGTACAATATATAATATAATTTTTTTAATGTTAATAATAATAAAAAGAACTCCTTATCAGGAGTCACTATTTCAGTCGGTACAAGTTGTCTGTACATAAACTATATTACGTTTTTTGTTTTTTTTTAATCTGTGACGATTTTGCTCGTGTAGCTGTCGTTGGGTAAAACTTTAATTACGCAGCGCCACCTGCGGGCTGGTACTTTGTGTTGTGCTTCTCTCCACCCGTCTGAGTAGAAAACAACTTTAATCACATGGTAATCAACGCAGATTGTTTTCAAACGTCATGTTCAATCAAGGACATTTATTGTATGTTTTCTTAATTCACATTTCCTCGGAAGTAACGAGCCTTGGTGGAAGGCACTTTGCCGTTTGTGTCTACTTTTTCTGTCCTCTCGGCTTCCGTCGACGTCGCGAATGCGCTTGACGTCAGCATAACAACAACCTGTCATGACAGCTCGTATGGGGAGGAAAATAACGATAAACATCTCAAACCGTATACATTCCGTTTCACCTGGATGTAAGATTACTTTTTGGAGGTAAGTTGTGCGAACTGCGAGTCCCAGGTACAAACTATAACTGGCATGGGTTGAAAAATAGAAGGCAATAGGCTATGTAGCAGAGAAGCTAACCTAGCATTAGCTAATTTCTTTTTTTTTTTAGTTTGCTTCTAGCGCTGTCAAGGTAAATATGATATACATGCGAAGACGACGTTTCAGGCCCATAATACCTATAATCCAACCAGTTGCGGATAAATTGTGTTATTAGAGGCAAGAAAATCGTCGTAAATCGATAACACCGCGCTAGTTTACTAACGTTATGCTAGCTCAGCTAACACGCTAACGCCAGATTCCTTGATCGCCACAGTTTACCGAGTCAACGACATCTCACTCCGCCTCGGTGCTTTCTGCTGCCACAACTAACGTTACATCTCGCTGTTAACTGAGCCACACCCTTAAAACAACGTCAACGCCATTCGTTCACAGCGCCTTCACAGCGTTTCGGTTGTGTAGCACCGGGCTATCTGCTCGTTTGGTCCCCACCGATGCCCGTCGAATGAATAGATCCTTCGCCGGCAGTCCAGCCGCCTCGCTGTATTATTGAGCGAACTATGTGCACCGTCAGCGAATTAAACCAACGCCGCGCGTGTGGCATCAGGGACCGCACCTAACTCGCAGCCGAGGCCGGCGCGCATTGCAGGTGCGCTGCGGGGAACCGAGATTCACTCCAGTCTCCGATCCAGCTAAGGAGATCCAGGAGGGGACAACAAAAGGGGCCTTTCCGGGACCGGTCAGCTAGCCAGCCGAAGAGACGGGGAACAGGATAGGGAAGCAGGGCGAGGCGGGCCCCGCGGAGCCGGTGGAGAAGATGGCCGGCAGCCCGGAGAAGAGCTCCACCGCGCAGGAGCTGAAGGAGCAGGGGAACCGGCTCTTCCTCTGCCGCAAGTACCAGGAGGCTGCGACGTGCTACAGCAAAGCTATTGTGAGTCGGCGTTACCCGGGTGGCGTCTGCCGAAGCTATTCCAACACGCTAGTGTCTTATATAACCGATGCGGTTTTTGGTGAGGCTTTTTGTAGTCAGGTCCTCAGTGCCGTGATGTTGATGTTGTGTATTTTGTTGTCTGGTTTGCCTCCCAGAACCGCAACCCTTCGGTGGCGGTTTACTACACCAACAGGGCTCTCTGCCACGTGAAGCTGCAGCAGCACGACAAGGCTCTGGCGGATTGTAAGCACGCGCTGGAGCTGGACAGTCAGTCTGTGAAGGCCCACTTCTTCTTGGGCCAGTGTCACCTGGAGCTGGAGAACTACGACGAGGCCATCGGCAACCTGCAGAAAGGTCAGACCGAGGTGGTCCAACAGTAGAGGCAGCTTGCTCGTATCTTGTGCGATGTCACTACTCTTTATGGGCACAGGACATGTTTGCAGGGAGGTTTTACAGTATGCCTCATCCGCGTTTTAACTATCAGAATACTAGTAAAAAGTATAAAGAGTTTTACACTTCTAAATTGTTAATGTGTTGTCTGTGGAACAACACGTGTCAGAAGGGGAGAACCGTAGGAAGCCATCTCATGGTACACCAATAACGCGGTTATACTGTTTTCTCCAGCTTATAACCTGGCAAAAGAACAAAGGCTGAATTTTGGAGATGACATCCCCAGCGCCTTGCGCATTGCAAAGAAGAAGCGATGGAACAGCATTGAGGAGAAACGCATCAACCAGGAGAACGAGTTACATGCCTACCTGACTAAACTCATACTGGCTGAGAAGGAACGGTGAGACGGGGGTCGGGAAGATACAGCGTGCTTATTTGAGTGGTAACACATTGCTGAGTGAAGATTGAAGATCACAGGAATTAGTGTCATGTTTTTTTGCAGAGAACTTGACGAATACAAAGAGAAACAGGATGACAATCAAAATGGGGGCGACCCTGCCAAGATTTCATCGAAAACCGTAAGTTTGCTATCTGTCTTGGACATTTCTCATTGTTATTCTTTCAACGAACGCATATAAACATGATGTATCCTGACTGAATGTGCACAAATACGTCTGGTAACATGCAAATGTGGCCGATTTAGGACAAGTATCTAATGGACATGGATGAGCTCTTCTCTCAAGTGGATGAGAAAAGAAAAGTGAGTAAATCATTATTATTCATGTCGATTGAGCACGTGAGAGTAGATAAGATGTATTTCTTCCCACACCCAGTTATTCCGGTTATGTGTGGGACTGGATTTCATGCTTGGACTAGAAAGCGGCAGCGTTCTGAATAGGTCACCGCCATCCATTACGCGGCTGACAAACAGACGGCACACGCTGATCACATTCGCCCACACAAAAGCATCTTCTCAGCACACACCTACTTAACACCATCTTCTTTTATGGTTGACATAGCAACAGGAGAAATGGAGTCACGCAGAGTTACGGAGGCTCATTTCAGAGGAGCATTTTAGCTCTTTCTGCATTTTTTCTACTCAATTGATCACCATCAGTGACGTTTGCCTCTGGGAGACATGCACCTTTTCTCTAGAAAGACCGTTCTGTTCTCCATCCAGTCGCTGTTGCCATGGCCACCATCACTATTTGTTTGCCAGGGATTGCAGTGTTTAATAATCTGTGCCACAGTTACTTGTTGACTGACTGCGCTCGTTTTAATGTTATTGTCAGTTGATATGACGCCGCACTGGCTGCCAACTCAACAGTGTGATATTTCTATCACAGGTCTTTTCATGTAATACTTTATCTAAACCAGCGGTTCCCAAACTCAAGAATGCCGCGGCCCAATTTGAAATCTGAAAATCTTTCGCGGCCCACCCAAACCTTTAATCGCAACTCTGATCAAAACATAATAATTAAATGACCTTAAGAATTTAACCAAAATCAAACATCCGCGAGCAAAAGTCTGTCTCCGCGAGGTATTTGCTCGCTTGCGAAACGTGAACTTTGTTGCTCGCGAGGAGTTTTCTACGCGCTCGCTGTGGTTCTTTTTGACAGTAAGGTGGAGACGGTGCTTTCAGGGTCCGATCGATGCTGCGAGGTGCGTCCGCTCCCGCCGCCCCCCTCGCCATCCACGCCTTAAATCTTTGGCTGCTTTTAGAATAACCTATTTCCCCCGTTAAGATGGTTCAGCTACTGTAGAGAAAAGGGCGCCGTCTCTCTCTTTTTAATCTCATGAAGTGCTCGGCGAGAACGACAGCTTCGTTTCTCCGACGCGCCCTGAAACAAGCTCCATATCTCACGCGCTTGAGTGCCGCTCAGCATCTCGCTGTCATAGACCGAGCTTTGTCATGTTTGGCAGAGCGCCTTGAGCGCCGTGTACAACCAGTATGGATCAACCGATTAACCAATTGATCCATATATATAAGGCGCTCCGAATTATAAGGCACTGCCGTTTTTTGAGAAAATTAAAGCCTTTTAAGTGCGCCTTGGAGTGCGGAAAATGCGGTATATTTACTTTAATTCTACAAGAGGGCGCCTCGTTTGTTGAACAACGACAGGCGGACAAGAGCAGCCGTTTCAAGCGAGAGCCTTATTGTTTTATTAATCTGTCCGTTTAAATTGTTTGTGCTTCATCAACTAATGTTTCACATAACTAATGTGCAAAATTGAAAATTAAAAAACTGCCGCGGCCCACACTTTGGGAATCGCTGATCTAAACTTTAGACTGGCTGTTGTTTTTTCAGAAGACACTAATGTGGATTTCCACAATGAATCTAATGAATCTGGTCAGACCACAAAAGGATGAGATCTGAGCTGCAGCTTGGTATAATTCTCATTTCCTATCCATGTTTCTCTTACGGTTCAGAAGCGGGACATCCCAGACTACCTGTGTGGTAAGATCAGTTTTGAGCTGATGAGGGAGCCCTGCATCACACCCAGCGGGATCACCTACGATCGCAAGGACATCGAAGAGCACCTACAGGTAAAGCCAGCGTCGGCTGCGAGGCCTGATATCAATTTGTTTTTTGGGTTCATCCGTCAGTCTGGACGCACAGTTTAAGCATCCGTACATCCCGTTCTCATGAAAGCAGCTTCTCGGCAAATTAGGTATTCGGTTGCCATTAAGTGTCAAAGCCACAGTCTTTATTTGTTTCCCTATTGTAGTATTTGGTTAACGCCTCACATCCCTTGTTACTTGTGGACCATTAGTAGTAGTTGTGTATTTGTACCCAGGTATTTGAGTGGATTCCGTAAATTTATCTCCGGATGCCGACACTAAACATGTAACCGGCTCTCTGTGCAGCGAGTCGGCCATTTTGACCCGGGTCACCATGAGTCCTCTGACCCAGGACCAGCTGATCCCCAACCTGGCTCATGAAAGGAAGTGATCGACGCTCTTCGTCCAGGAGAACGGCTGGGTGGAGGACTACTGAACGGACCACCCCCCCACCTCGCGGCTCCCACCTCTCCATCACACCCGCACAAAAGTCTGGACAACACAAGACTGTAGAGGACAGACCGCCCCCCCCCTCCTCCATGCCCGGAGATGTACTTTATACAAGCGGGGGGTCTCCCAAACGAGAGCTGCCATTCCGCCTTTCCCTCCCCTCATTTTTATCTGTAGAACTCCACCCCCCCCCCCCACCCCCACTTCCTCCGAGGCTGGCTGTTCATGTTCTGCCGCTCCCTTTAAAGCCACCTTCACCCCGCCCTCTCTATGTGTCCCCTCTCATTCCTCTTCCTCTCTTGCTGTATCAAGTCTCTCAAGCCTGAGTCCCTTCTTTAAATAAGGGGCCACGTTCTCAGGTCTGTCATGCCCCCCCCCCCCCCCCCCCTCCCCTTCCTGAGAGCATTGCACTGCAGTGTTTCACATGTGGATGAATACATAAATACGTTGTACTTTTATCTAGCATTTATTCCAGTAGTTTTTCCATTAGCTGTTGGTGCGTATGTTCACTCCATAATCACGTTAGTCGAAGTGGTAACTAAAATGCCAAAAGAACATTTCTACCACAAAAGTGACTAGTTTTTGTGTAAGTTCTCCGTAACAAAGTCCCCTTTCCACCTCCAGGTGGCGCCCCAAACAAACCCACCCATGTCACCATACTGTAATATATATATATATATAATATATATATATTTATTTTTTTCTTCTTGCATATCAATCAAACACCATTTCAGACAATTTAAAGCAGTTGAATGTATGCATACTACTCTTACGTTTCGACCTGACCTACAGTAATTCATTAATGTTTTTCTCAAGACAGTACAAAGGTTTTCATGAAGAACGGCCTTGAACCGATGGAAGCGCCCGCCGAATACAACTTCTCTCTTTTCTCACGTAGCTGGATATTAATGGAAAAATGTTGACTATCGATAGCTGACATGAGCCGTTCGGGTTGATGCTAAAAAGCTGCTTTTGAAGAACGTCTGTGCTGTCTGTGTTGTTCATAGAAACAAAAAAAATGTGCTTGGACGTCGTGTTTGGCTCGTGCTGTTCGCCATGAACGATCGTGGACTCGCATCAAGTGAATTTTCGTTTCCTATGCAAGGGGCGAGAGGACGGTACTTATTGTTCTCCCTTTTCTGCTGTTCATTTTGTGCACCCCCCCCCCCTCCATCCCCCTTCCGTACAATGTCCCAGCTTCCGGAAACCCATCGGTGTGAGACTGTAGCCTTCCGCTGGATTTAATGTTCGCTGACGTCACCGACCTCCTGTTGTAGAAATGCTGGAAGAGTGATGACCGCATGTATCGCATCCGCACCTCAGTCCAAATGTATTCTCTGTAAACTCAGCGTCGGTCTACAGGTCGTGCAGCCGTGTGCGCGCTGAGTGCGGCCTGACGACGGCTCATGTCTCTGTGCAGGCAGTGTAAATAATTTGCTTGTGTATCAGATTTTATTTCTTGACAAAATAGGGTTCTTTTCTTTCTTTCTTTCTTTTTTTTTAAAATCTCAAGACATCCTAGAGCTTGAGAAACTGTATTAAATGTAGATATGTTGATAACACAAAGGCCTGGTTCAGTTTTCATTTGTCCCCATTAAACCGTGAACTTTGAGTCTGTTTTGTCTTTTTCGTGACGCCAGTAAAGAGAAGTCAATCAATACCAATGTAATGATCTTCAATCCTTGAAACTAACCCTCAAAAATAATATTTGTTCTTTGCCTCAATGTCTGTTAATGATTCTGTAGTTTGTGACCTACATACCGAGTCGGACTGTTCCTGATATATTGCGCAAGTTTATCATCACAATAAAAGTATTTGGTTTTTAAATGATTATTATTATTGACCTTAAAAAAAATACACTACCAGCATCCCTGAAATGAATGCATGAAACCCTTTTAAATGTATATTTCTAACAGCTGTTCTTTACAGCTGAGACACTGCAGAGCTTTAAGGCATGATCATGATATAATGTGCCCCGTTAACTCTGTGCTTAGTGTAGTAGAAAGAACCGTATTTGTTATATTTCAGCTATTACGTTCATTCCTATTGGGAATCGTCATGCACACACACACACACACACGGTCGCTGAGAGGCTGTGTGCATCAGTCACATGTGGTCCCTCACACACCAGGCCCATTGTGGCGGCGTCGTTGAGCAGCTGACGTCGTGGCCGGTGCTGGGAGGGAAGAGGACCGGCTACGGGACACCAGCGAGTGGGACTCCGAGGGAACAACAAAAACCGCATCAAAATGGTGAGACGCGCTGTTTCTTCTCGCACCGTTTCTACACAACGTGGTCTCTGGTGGGAGATGATGATGGATGTCTTGTGTTTGAAGGAGGTCAAAGCTGCCAGGTTTGTTGTGGGACTACTCGCTGTCCTTGGATGTTCTCTCACGCCCTCGTCCGCCAGCCAAGGTATGAACCTAACAAAGAAGAAAATGTCCTTCCAGAAGTATCCCACCATGCATTGCTCAACTGGATGTCCTCTTCTTGTGTCGCCCCAGTGGGTCTGAGCGACAAAGTCCTGGTGTTCCCCTACGAGACCGACTTCAGCTTCGTGGCCCTGCTCCCGCAGAAGGAGATGGCCCTGAGGGTCTTCACGCTCTGCATGCGCGTGGCCACCGACCTGCCGGAGGACCGCCAGGTCATCCTGTTCGCCTACCGCACGGCCGACTACGACGAGCTCAACGTGTGGCGCGAGATGGACGGGCGCGTCTCCTTCTACCTGAGCGGGGACGGCACCTTCTTCCACCTGCCGCCGCTCACCACCTTCCGCACCAGCCTGTGCCTGACCTGGGAGTCTCGCACGGGCCTGTCCGCCTTCTGGGTGGACGGCAGGCGCAGCGCCTACCAGGTGTACAAACCCGGCCACTCCATCCGTCCGAAGGGCACCGTCCTGCTGGGGCAGGACCCGGACAAGCACCTGGGCGGGTTGGAAGCCGTGCAGAGCTTCGTGGGGGAGATCACCGATGTGAACATGTGGGACTTTGTGCTCTCCCGGAGCATGATTCAGGCCTGGCACTACGGGCACAAGGTCCCCAAGGGCAACATCTTCGACTGGGGCACCATAGAGTACGAGCTGAACGGGAACGTGATGGTGGTGGATGACGACTGACTGGCGGCGGGGTCCGACGCGGAGAGGGGCGGGGCTTTAGCGCTGTGCGTCGGGCTGATGCTGATGTGTGAATTTCTCCCTTAGGGTTCGGGGTCGTTTAATGTCAGCGCCCGTCGACAAAAGCCAAATAGTCTCTTGGCCTCTGGATGACAAGGTAAAGAAAATAAGGAAAGGAGTTCTTTGTGTGCGTAGCACACTGCGGCTTTGTGGTACAGACGTTTCTTTTTAGAAGCTAAACAGTAACTTTGTTCAGGATCGATGCGCTCGTCTTATATTGCCGTTTGAGTCGTACTAGTCCTTGTATTTTTCAACCTTCGACCTTTGAAATAACCGATTTTTAAATATGAAAAAAGTTGACGTGCCAGATGTTTCCATAAGGTGGCGCTGCACTAGTTCACATCCAACAGGAACAGATCACGTGATGTAGTTATGAACTGAGGTTATTAATGAAGCTACTAAATACTGATTAAAATGTCGCTGCTATTAAAAAACAAATTCCCAGCCCGTTATAACATATTACAGAAATTACACGTAAAAATACATTTAAAAAGCTGTTTTTTTGTTAGACTTGAACATATTGTAACAAAAGGCAGATTTACAAAAACCTGCTATCATACATGCAACATACGTGTTTGTTTGATGCGCTTAATGATGATTTACTGTTGACTTAATGATTCAGCTGCTCACAGAGACAAATAGCAATTATCATGTTTAATATCCGTCGCCATAATGTTGCCTTTGGTTAGCGTGCTCGCTCATAAATTTTGAAAGTTTCCACTGATGTAAGATCGCTTTTGGGTCTGAAATAAAATCTCTCCATATGCATAACTAATAATGTTTGTAATTAGATGGAATTTTTGTCTTTGAACTTTAGCTGTTTCCCTTTCTCAGTCGTCTCTCATTTGGACACGTTTTAAAAGAACGACAATTTGTGCACACAATTTCAACTGGGGAGTATTTCGTGTCATTTCCCGTGTTCACTTGCGAGAGGGAGGGACACGGATCTTCCACAAAGTCAGAGAATAAGCCACTCGTACGTTATCATCTTAAACCCTATGAAAGACAAGTCATCACTCAAAGCTTCTGTTCTCCTCCCTCGTGGGCCTTTGTCTCCACGTTCTCAGTGTCCCTCAGACAGAATGAGATGCCAAAGTGTTTCTTGCAGAAATCGAGTCATACGGAGCCGCTTCACTAACAATCCCCTCAGAATAAGCTCAAGGTCAGATCCTCTCCATCCGAGTGTAACACAGTTCCAGCGCGCTGTCTCTGTTCGTCTCCATGGCTCCGTGCACTCGTCCCCCCCCGTCCCCCCCCTCCCTGCATGCACCACCGCCGTGACCTCCTTGCAGAGACGAGGGAGAAGTTTCCCGCTCGTTCAGGCTCCCTCCAGGGTGGGAAAGAGCCGCGTTCCTAGTGCGTGTGTTTATTCAAACCCGATCCCCCGTCGGCTCTCTCGCAGCGGCTAAATGAGGAGAAGGAAGGGCCGATGAGTTCTGACTGCGGGTCAGCAGCCAAATGTTCCACCTTCTTGGATGTTGCAATGCATCAATCGCGGTGCCCACTCACTGTGCGGTAACACCTTTGTGGACCATCTGCCTAAGCCTGGCTTCTCAGCCCTCTGGTACACACACACACACACGGCCTGTTATTTCCTTCTTTTATGCATCTCTGCCCACAAGGGGTCCTTCTTCATACTTCCCACTTAAAATGGTCTTTGAGTGTGTTTTAGTCATTTCAATTCGAAAATCTCAAGATTTCATGTTAAAATTGTGTTGATTCCCTTGCAAACGCGTTAGCATTTTGGGCACAGCCGCACTCCGTTTCTGTCACAAAGGAGGGCCGTGTAACGTGCGCAGTTGGAGCGTGACGCGTCTTTGCAGAGTGGCTAATTATTCCCTCTGTGTCACTCCATTGCACGTATTACCCAACCGACGATTGCAGGGGCCCTGGTCCCGCCGGCGGACAGGGCCGCCAGTGCGGTGCCTGTGAGATCTGCATATTGGCCCGTGGTGGTTAAAGCTGTCGGGGGGGGGGCCACTGACTGTACGACCGTGCGTGCGGAGCTGGTGAAGATCTCTTCCACCCGAGAGGAGATAGACGGCGAGAGGGAGACAGAAGGAGGGCCGTTCTGGATTCCTTCGAGCAACTCCAAATAGATTTCCAGGCAAAACATATTTGCATACGCAAGACAGTGCTACGAGCTATCCGAGTGAGCTGTGGCGTGTGCGCACTGAACAGATGGATGTTTTTTTTTTTTAGAGCTTTCTTGCAGAAATTTCAGCCCATTAAATTGAGATCTTGGGCTTCATTCAGCTTGCTTTTGTTCACAAAGCGCGCAAAGAGTCATCAAGCGGAAGTTGGTCTTTTTTTTTTTACATCAGATTCAGTGATCAGTAGCCTGCATGATGGTTGATTAATTAAAGAACAACCTCTGTGTGTATGCTTTAACAGGAGCCACGGTGTGCACCCCGGGCAGTGCAGTTGAGACTAAATAAAATCGATTCCGCACTTTCATGTGCAAAAAGCGAAACCTGCAAAAACCCGTCCAAAGGACCGATGTGTTCTGTCTCCTCATCATCTTTGATCTGCTGAAAAAATGTCTCCTGATTAAAACATTTATAGTAGCTTGTTTATTTTTTACAATACAAAATAATTGGCTTGAAGCTGCGCATTCCAAAGGATGTGATTGAGACATAAACTTCAACATCTTTCCTGGGTAAACGTGTGTCCAGTTGGACGGAGACGTCTGGACGCCAACGACAGGTCACTTCTTCAGTGCTCTCTCTCTCTTAGAGGCTGCGCTCTGCCACTCGTCCGCTCCCTCTGGGCTGCATGAAAAATTCACCAGGCCTTCCCATTAGAGTCAGTCTGAATCAGCGAGCAGGCGTTACAAAGGCCACACGGGCGGCGCGTTTTTTATCACTCAACGCTTAGCAGCTCAAATTGTATGTTCACAAAAACAAATGAAAAAATCACAGCGGCGTCCAGTTTTTTTTTTTGTTTTTTTTCCCCCCGCTGCAGGTCACGTCAGACACAAACCGCATGCGTACCGTGCAGACGCACACGGACAAGCACAGCCGCCCTGGATTGTGATATAGACGGACTACAGCCTTTTCAGCGCCGGGCTTTTCGCGCTCGTGGTGAGACACCTGACCTTTACCGGGGGGGCCGTGGGTGAGCGGTTGTCTCTTTGCGGTGGAACACCTCCGGACAGGTCGGCTAACGCTCACGGTGTAACCTTCCTCACAGCACTCCCAATAAGTGCTCAACCCTGCCTGAACCTGGAGCAAAGCTTATGAAGAGGAGGGGAACTATTCCACGTGAAAACAGCCGAAAAAAATCAACATTTGTGGCTCCTTAACTTCCTTATAATACAACTTCTAATGTATAGATTCCATTTGCAAAATGAATAAAGATAAAACTCAGTTTGGTCATTTTTTATTGTTTAAATTTTGACTGTTTTGCTGAAAGTTGAACTTATAATTAACGGAAGATCTCCGTTTTATAGCCGTGAACTCAAACTCGCTTCATAGAGAACCAAAGGCCCCGCGGTGGTTTATTAGGTATTTATAGTTTTGTCCTGTAAGCTGAATATAAGGTTCACATATGGCGTGTAACGTTTCCTAACCCCCAATAAAACATCACAACACAATATCACCATTAGCTTAATCGTAAAGGAAATTATTCTGAAGCTTCTTTTTTTTGATGCGATGTAGTAGGATGCAAATTAGTTCATAATTGAAAAAAAAAATAATGTAATTAGTGGCGGTCCGTCTCGGCGCCCTCCCACCTCCCCGACCCCCAGAAGAACGTGGCAACCGACGGTGGGGCAGAGCGAGGGGCTCTGTGGTTGAACGCATCGGGGCTTTTAGCGGCGGGTTCCCCTCCCCGCCAGCATATGAGCCGTGCCACAGCGCGAGGCGGTCCGGGGGCCTCCTGATTAAATATTACAGCCCTCTAAATGGATGGAGATTAGCCTCTGTGGGAATGTTGAGGCTTAATTTGCCCCCCGGCCAGATGTGTGTGTGTGTGTAGATGTGAAAAGGGAAGCGGGGAGGGGGCGGCTTGTTGTACATGTGCCCCAGCCTAAGTGGGATGCATGTTCCCGGCGTGGGGTCAGTGGAGGTCGTGCTGCGGTCGCACGGGGGGTGAACGTTCTGCAGCAGTTAGGAGGTGCAATCAATCCCGTCGATCAGCCGTGAGAAGGAGGCGTTGTTCCTCCGTTTTATCGCTTGTCTCAGTTAAATGGTCTCTGCTGCTTTGTGAGTATCGGACCCCTGCAGGAAAGAAGGCAACCGCTGTTCATTGGGTTCATGAAGTGAGCGTGAATACGCCATGTTGCAGACTTGCACATTTCATCTGCATTAGCCTCAGAGTTTGTACTCATGTTTCTCTAAATGATTGAACATTGACCACCTACGCGTGACAGGAATAAAATAATCTCACATGCATATATGTGTTTAGCTACATGCGAACAAGTTATACATGTTTATAACTTACTGATTACTTAACAGTAAAATATTTGCACAGATAAATAAAAATAATGGTCCGTAAATTCAAATCCTTTTGATTAAAAGTCAATCAAACAAAACAGTGCTGATTTATTGACCAATTAGATATTAATTTGTTGTACACAATCAGGCCAACAACACAGCCCGTTCAACCGCAATGTGAATTTGGGTTCGATGTCCTACGTGACTTTACCTCCTGCTGCCTCGTATCAGGTGTCAAGACTCCAGGAAAATCACATTCTTGTTCTGTTGGGAGTAACATCGTTATTCGCTATTAAGGATTTAATCTGCTCACACATAAGAAATAAACGGCTGTCACTTTCATTTCTGGCAGTTTTCTGTGTTCTGCGATGCCGTCCCGACCTCTACTCTGAATTATTGATCGGTTGGTTTTGTAGTTCACCGCGATTGAAATGCTTTTAAGGACGCGAGTGCGTGTTTTGAGGTCTTTGCATGAAAACCCTAAACTTTATTATTTATAAAAAAGACACGTAACGTAATCCTCGTGGAAAAAAAAGAGGGGGGGGGGGGGCGCCGTCCATTTAATTACCCACCCTTCTCTGCTCGTGTGCTTCACCGAGTGCGTCTGATGAGACGCGCGTCGCTGTTCCACGCGATGCAGCGCGGCCGGTCTTCTTTGTTCACCTCCGCCTCATCCATCACGCACACACACACACACACACACACACAAACAAAAACACAGCAAAACAACATCGCACACACACACACACACAAGCACTCTGCGCCACTGGGCAGGGACTAGCCTGAAAGATTGAAAGCAATTAAAACTATCATCTGCAGTGGCTCTGGGCGGGCCCGTGGCTGCGGGGGGGGAGCTGCCACTGCGCATCAGCCTCTCCGCCTCAGCAACGCGCAGCGACGTGAGAGGGAGAGGCGCAGCCGAAACGCGCGCGCACACGCACGCACACGCGCACGCACGCACGCTCACGCCGGGGCCATCGTCAAACCACCGCCATGACCCCTGATCCCCGCCCGTCGATCGCGCACCTGCTGGACGAGGGGCCCTTGGCGCGGCTTCGTGACCAGGGGGGGGGGGCCCGTTGCGCGCGCGTCCGTCTCCGGAGGCGCGGTAACGCCGAATTGGTGAAAGAAGCCGCGACGCGATGACGAGGCGTTCAGGCTCCGGGAGTGATGTTTGTTCCTGTTGCAGGTCTGTAAGAGCCTCGGGTACACGTGCTCGCCATCAGAGGAAACAATTAATGTTCCAGTAAATACTTTTGTGGCTTGGGATGCTTCACTGGAGCACACACACACACACACACACACACACGCACACACACGCACACACGCACACACACCTGCG